TTTAATAACTATGACTCATTCGAATTTCAAATTAGGTACATCAACATTTTCAAAACAATTATCCACTAATAATGTACAGTAAAAAAGGGGGTTCTCATTTGAAAAATAAGTTTGTTGAATATTCCTTAAGTAGTGAAAACAAATTAAAGAATTTTCAAATATGACTCTATGAGTATATTTAAAAATTCCAAATATCAGAATTTTAATAAATTAATTATTAAAGGTAAAAATAGGGGTGAGCATGATGGGGTAAATCATCCTATACACCATGTTTGTGAAGTTTACAAACCTAAGTAATGCAATCTTTTTTAAATCTATGCCATTATTTAAAAAGTTATTTGCAAGTATTTTCAAGTCTATTTCACAAACTTCACGTACGTGTTTATACCTAATACTCAGTAATACAATTTGAAAATTTGGAAATAAAAAAAATGAATACTTACCTAGGTACATTATAAATTATAATGTATACTCATTTTACGAGTTTTCACTAGGTATTATTGAATCATGTTTTTCAATCTCTTGTTTTTATTTCGTACAGGTATAAAAATACGTATACCTACGTATACGTATAAAATAAAGTAGGTATAGGTATAAAAAAATTTTTTAGTAAAAAATCTGTATTTATGAAAATTTTGAGTTAAAAAATTTAATATTTTTTTAGCATATTTGTATTTTTTTTAAATGCATATAACTATATAAGTGGGAACGCATATTTTGTATTTATTAAGTGCATTAAGTTCCGATCCCTAATGGCGTAATTATTACCAAGTATATTTTATGATATTATTGTGACTAAAGAAATTTATTTTAGTAGCTTACGCATTATTAATTAGTACTAGTAGTACTGCAATATATATGCTGCTGGTGAATATATAAATAATTAATGTAATTGAGTAATTTGATTAAATACTTCCTTATTGATGGAATTACTTAAGTTGCTCAACTGGAAAGTATCAATCTCATGTTAAAATGATAAATTATTATATAGCCATATATAGGTAAGCTAATGAAACTGATTATGTCTGATAAAAAAAAAAAAATCTATTTTTCTACTTTCAAAAGGAATTATATAAGCTTAAGATTGAGCTAAAAACATTGAAATATTAAAATAGCATCAAAACTTCAAAATATGCCTAAGTTTGGCGAAATATATAAAAATAGGTAAATGCTACATATCGCACGAGCACTGAATTTATAAAATTTAAATTTAAGAATATTGTTTACACTGAAGTGAATACTTACCAAGTCCCTTTCAGCTGAGATAAATGGCCCTGGTCTAATAAGTACACTCATATTTTCTTGTTTTGAAATAGTCAAAAAGTGTTCAATGTCAGCTTGTCCTTCAAAATCGTATACACCCGAATATGGTTCATGAAAACTCCATTCTACATAACTAAAAATAATGAAGATTACATTTTCTATTTAATATTAAATTAAGAACGAGACACAGTGACGGGGCTAGGGGGGGGGTCTGTGCAAATTCCTGGGGCTCCGTCTCTTATTGATATATATGATATTTTCCTTCTATAAGGAAAATCGGTGAACCATACATATTATGTTTTTGTTAAAAAGACGTAACTATGAAACAAAATCGGTTAATAAAATAAAATATCTGTATCCAGCCCAAAAAAAACTATATGCTAAAAAATGTGTTATAATTATAATAATAATAATTATTATTATTCTTTACTCACTGAAAAAAGGTACATACTTAGGTATATAGGTACTTGGACTATAAATTGTAAACGTGTAAAAAATAATATAAATGTTGATATCGATGTATACTAATTAAGTTTTAATAGTGCATAATAATATCTTCCCAATTGAGTCAAACAAAAATGTAGCTTTGTAAAAATAATAATAATAATACATGTTGATTAAAATGCAATACTTCGTAAATTAGTAAGTGGATCGGTACCAGTGCCTATTAGAAACCGCGGTGCGGGCGGTTCATTGCACCGGGGCCCCACGTTTCAATTCATGTATGGGGCCCATACTTAAATAAACTAATATAAGAATTAAGAACCTATATACTAATAAAATTTTTTTTTTTTAATTAAATATTAATAGAAAATATAGGGAGGGGTGCTAGGGGGTGCTTCGCAGAATAGCACCCCGGGCTTCAAATTAGCACTGGCAAATATAATAACATATTATAATATAATTATTTTAAAATATTTTTAATACATAATACATTATGTACAGTATAGTTGCTTTATAGTTAATATAAATAAAGAGTACCTAGCGATTATATTATTAACATTTATATAATTTCAACTTTATTATTATTTATTAGTTATTAATTTGTCTACAACTACAAGTATTGAAGTATAATTAATTAAAGTTTTAATTTATTATATTTGTACTATAATTAACAATTAAGAATATTAATAAGAAAAAATTTAAAATTATTGCAATGCAGTTTATTATATTATTAGGATGGTGTTTACTGTGTTCCATAAATTATTGCAGCACCCACTACGTTCAACCAATATGAGTCTATGTAATGGACCCACAGATTAAATTTGCACTGGGGCCCATATAGTACTAGCTACGGCACTGATCGGTACTTTTTGTATTTTCCTGGCCAATCTTTCTCCAATTCGCCACTGCATACAAGTCAATACTGTAGAACGGTGTGAATAAAATAGGTTTGTCAGTTTGTGTGTATAAATGTATAATTGTATAAATAGTTTAAAATTAGTCTTATATTTTTAAATCATTGTTTATTGAAAATGAGACATTTTTAAGTAATCGTGGAATGTTTCAAGTTTGTATGATTTCTATTTTTTGGATTACATAACAAAACTCTTTATACGATTAACCAATACGTTGCAATAATTAATATACAATGTCATCAACATTTTAACTATAGTAATTTATAACAAATGTAAGTGGTTTAATGCTAAACGTTTTCAAAGCTTACAGGGAAAAAAAAACTTACGAGGAATCTTGCATTCAATTTTTATGTATTAGGTGTAAAAATTAAAACTTTTATGTATTTTTAACTACAAAATAATTGACATATTTTTTTGATTTTGACGAATTTTGTACACAGTTGAACTTTAAACACTTATCACAAGCGTAACTAATAACTTTGTTATTTAATATACAGTATATTTCATTAGCATTTGTTTGTTTAACATAAATTAACTAAGAAAATAAACACTTATAAAAAATTCTTTCTAACCAAAAAAATATTACTCTACGATCGTTTATGAAACCGTTGAGTCCATGAAGTACGAAAGATAGGTTTTTGGAACAAAAAATTACGATTTGACAGTTGTTACTTGTAATGAACTTATGAATTATTTTTACCCATAATATTTAATGTGTCACCAAAAAACTTGTTGTTAAAAATGTTATTAATATAAGTACCTAATACGTGTAAAAAACCAAAATTAATAAATTAAGAGTAATAGTTTCTTTTATTAGTTATGGTGTCGAGGGAGGGTGGGTGGCGCCTCATTGAACACCATTGAACATTATTTTCAAAAAGGTCCATGAGAAATCTGGTAAATATCTTGGGTCGCTAACACAAAGGTTGAGAACCACTGGTCCGTTGATTTGGTAGGTGTATGCAGCGGAACTTCGGCGGCTTAGCAGTGAGTTGTATCATGCAAGTGACCACACCACGCACTGCTGTCACCGGGTAGGTAGTAGGTACTAGGTAGGAGAAAACAGGTTTTCTTGTCGGCTCACCGGAATAGTTTTACGACAATTTAAAATATGTAATAAAACATTGTTTTTTTTTTTTTGTATAATCATGGTTTTCATTCACGCATGTTGTCAGCAAACCCTTATAGCACAATATACATATGTAATATATAAGGTACTAAGGTAGACGCATAAGTCATAGTCATGGTAGATCATGTGGTATTCGCTCCCACAGTTTATGAACTTCTCGAGTAGAGGTTATATAATACGGTTTGTTTTAAATCTTACTATGAATAAATTATTATTTTCTTACGTAACGCTCATATAAACCTGGACGGTGATGAGTATACTTTATCAGATGACGGGTATCTGGTAACTACAGGCAACAACTTACAGCACCGCGGTCGTGCCAGCGCAGAAAACCACGTGACCTGTTATATTGCTTGTTTGTATCGATAGTTGTCTATCGATAATTTTTAAATACTATTTTTTTAAGAGGATGTCACACCCACAAATTGTGTTGTCTCCGTCTTACACACATACGACATAGACAAAACGCGTTTACGCAGTCTGAGTAGAACTCGCTCGATTTTGGTATTAGAATAAAAGCATCTATTACAAAATTAAAAGATGACAACATTTTAGAGGGCAAGATGTTGAGTGTTTAAAAAAAAAATTAAATTTTGAAAAGTTAAAGGTATTTTAAAATTTTTGAAATTTTTGCTATTTCTAAACGGTATTATGATGAACGTTATATTGTGTATAATGGAAAAACACTACTCAGAAATATTGTCACGATTCAATTTTATAATGGGTTTTTTTACTATAGAACCAAAATTGAGCAATTTATACCCAGTCACTCAGACCGCGTTTTTGCCTATATCGTAAGTGTGTAACGTCCTTTTAATATCTTTTACACGAGTTCAATAAGTATGTAAATTATAAAACTACTATTTAATTCATTAAATAAAATGATTTATTAAGTGATAAGTATTAATGTATTAACTAATTTACGTCTTTACATAAATCCATATTTCTACCTATGCAATAATATTATTATTAATTTTTTGTATTCGAATGATAATCTATTAAAAAAATAGAAAGGAAAAACATTATAATTGTTGTTAATAAGTACCCATTAACTAACAATAGAACGAAAATAATTCTAGTAATCAAACAACACAATCGAATTATTTCGATAGTGGTTTTTCGTTAGTACCACTAGTCCATGAACGATTCTTTAATACTTTCAATTTAAATGCAGCCGTACACAAATATTACAGATTGTTGGTCAGTTCACTAACGTAGTTCGTTGTAGGAAATCGATCTGCCTATGTAAAATGGGAAACATTTTGAGAAGTAGAGATAAACCGTTATTAAATGAAAATTCGTGAGTATATTATTTTTATATTAACAACCTTTTAATAAATTTAAGTGCATATTATTTAAAAAGCCATAATAAGAACATTAAAAAAAAAAATTATTTGGTTTTTAATTAATAATACGACAAAGAATTTTACGCTTAAAACTTTAAATGAATAGAATTTTTGAAAGAGTAAGGGGAAATATAAGAGGATTGGCTGGATAACTGGTGTACTAATATGAGGTTATTTAGGTAGTATAATATAGGTACCTAGTTAAAACTAATAACTAATGAAATATTTATTTATTATTATAATGAAAAATGACAAAAATACCATAGGAGAGTTTACAGAAAAGTTGTCAACATTTTGATAAAAACAAGATATCATTTTAATTAATTACGTGATTATAGTATGTGAGTATGTGACACAGGAATGTTTGGTCACTAAACCTGTATATTACTATAAACTGTATTAACACCTATATTTTACGACTGGTATATAACTACGTGTTTAGTCTTAGATATATATTTGTTTACGTATTTTTATTGATACATTTTTTCAGAGAATACGCTTTTGGGCTTTCGACGTATAATATACCTTTTTTGATGGGTATTACTTATTAGTTATTCTGATGTTATATGGAATAAAATAATTATTTCACACTTATTATTTTAAAAAAAAATGTGCTAAGGATATTATTTTATAATTATTACTGGACTACGTTTAATTAATATATCGAACGTCTTGATTTGTACGTCTGGTATTCATGTGCTATTGTTTCGGACATGTTCACGGTTGAATAAAATAGTTACTTTAATTACTAATAGTTACCATAAAGGACGTCGCATCCACATAATATTATTATGTAGTCTCCGTCTTACACAAGTACGACATAAGATATTTTCGTTCACCAGTTTCAATATGCTGTCAGTTTTGATATTATAATGGCCTATTATCAAACTTTTAGGTAAGAACATTATCAGATTCGTTCTCTCGTTGGCTTTTTATGACATTTTAATTCTTAAATAAGTTATGACTTATGAGTAGTGATTACCAATGTAAAATGTTAATATTTGAAAATACTCATAGTTCACTCAAAAATTAAAATATCGTAAAAAATCACAGATAATGTTCTTACCTAAAAGTTGGATAATATAGGTGAATATATCAAAACTAACAGCACATTATTGAAACTTGTGAATGAAAATGTGTTATGTCTAAAGACCGGATTTATATTCTATTATACAATACCTAAAATATGATGCTAATATTCTCTAAAAAACCTTCAAATATTCTCATTAAATTCACTTAAATTTTTTAAAAATTATGCTTAAATATGCAAAAAATGCATAAATATGCATAAATATGCAAAAATATGCAAAAATAATCAATAAACATCATTACATTCTCTAATATGCATTTTATATTTTTTTTTTCAACATTATTTTTATAGTGAGGTATTAATTAGGTATTAAAATTGCGTATTATAATGGAATACTATTGCACACTATTGCATACTATTTAGTAAGAGTTGGAAATGATAAAAAAAAAATTTTCTGGGTACCTTAATATTAAAATTAAAAATAAAAACAAATTTTTTCTCACAATTTACAAAATATTCCAAAATATGCTAAATGGGTTAAATATTCTCTAACCCATGAAATATTCTCAAATATGAAAAAAAACTTTTTTCCACGCATTCAGAATTGATCCACATTTTTTACTCTCATAAGACTGCATAGACCCAGTAACGATATGTAAAAACATATCAATCCGGTCTTTAGTTATGTCTTAGTGTCTACAGGACGTCCTCTTAAGACTTTTAAGTTATGATTTACGTACAAGTGTACGTTAATAGTGTTACAACTGACTCAGTATTGTAGGTACTCTAGTCTTTAGTATAATAGTTAAGAAAATGTCAAAAAATTACTTTATATTCGAAATGCAATATGTGTTTTATGTTTAACGAACGATAAAGTGTTTATCGGTGTATAAAATATATATTTTTCAATAATTTATGATAAGGTACTATAATCTGAAGAAAATATAATTACGAACAAACCATGTTTCTCATCTTAAAAACCAAGAGAGATAAATTATCATTTATCACATTTGACATTTTAACCATTGATGCTAGTTGGAACTATTGTAATTAGAAACAATTACATATAATACCATAATAGGTTTAGGTATTATAATTTATAAGTATAACACACAAAATACTTAGTTTTGTAAATTTGTTTAATGATTGATGAACTTAAATATATTATGCCCATTGCTCTAGTATCCAGACATATTATAATATTCCTAATGATAGAATTATGGAATCTACATTATAATTCATATCTCACAATTTTAACTTGATAAAGATAACATTTTTCCAGCTACGTGAAGTGTGTATTTCGATGAGTTATTTTAGAGCGGATTATTGGTTTTGCAATGACATATTATATTATTTATTGTTTATATTGGTCGTCCACTTTTGTATCAGTAATTGTGCTTCAATCATACACTTTGAGGGCAATTTCTTGTAGATATTTGGATATAGGTTTTTTAAAGGGGTGAAAACATTGAGACTTGAAATTAATATGTAAAAAATAATATGGCTGTGGCCAATAACTCAAATCCAAAATAATATATAATTTAGATCGGTTGCTTTAGTACAACCTAAGAAAGAGTTGTAAATGGTCTACTAGGAGTTACCTACTTGGCTACTTATTAAGTAATTAATTATTCTTTAAATTATTATGTAAGTACTATAAGTGAAATGAGCCATTAACCTATCATATATTTTAGACTTTAAATTTTACATGTATTTAATGATTTAAAGTACAATATAAATTAACAAACAATTAAAATTACATTAAAGAAATAAAAATTTTTAAAATATCTAACACCTATTTATTATTTTGAGTAACCAAAATTCAAAAATTAAGTTGTTAAAGTAAAGGTAGTAGCTAACAGTATAGGGCTTTTTTATATTTAATGCATTTTTATAACTACTAAAAACTATTTAATATCATTATTGTATACAATATAGATGCTATTTTCTATATACATCATAATATTATTATATTTTTATCACATCATTAAGCTTTATATTTAAAAATTGATTAAATAGTCCACTGACCGCTAGGTAAAAGCACTTGCTCTTTTCACTAACCAACCAACTAAAATTAAAGAAAAAATGTAATTTGTCAAAAATTAAAATTGATAATAACTTGAGCAAACAGTTATAATTATATGTTAACGACTTAACGTTGCATTTAAAATTATGCGGAATCGTGTATATGTTACCGGAAATGTTGACATTTAGGAAATCAAGACAGTTTTTAGGAAATGTTGACAATTCCTAACGATATCAGGCAAAGATGCCATATATTTTTTTAGATATTTTAATTTAATCTGTATAATTTATTACTTTTATCAAATATAATTATATATAATTATTAATTACCCTGCATTACCCTCATAAATAATTAATAATAAATAAAAAATCAAGTGTTGTCAAACATTTTTTTTGTTACTTTTTAATTTGTGTAATTTAAGCTTATTTACATTTTTACTCATTTTTGTTTTCACATGTCAAACACCCGTGACATTTAGAATTGCAAATTCTAGATGCAGATCTACAAGCACACTTATTCGTCTTGAATTTTGCCTTATATTGATATGTCATACAACATCACTTCCACGTCCCAGTTAGCACGTTTTATAGACCCCTGACTCTGACTGTGTCTTGGTTTTCCGTGCATATACGTTACGGGCAATATAGAATACCGGGCAATGTGAACCAAGATTTATTTTATTAACCAACTAATTAGTTAATATTAATATTATTTTTTATTTTCATTGTAAATTATAATTTTATTATTACCTATTTATAATAATTTGAAGTATTGTTTTTTTAAAATTTTAAAATGTTTTCCTATTAATAATATTTTAAAAAAAACAATGATTAATTTTACTATCGGGGGGACGGAGTGGCCGAGTGGTTTAAGGCGTCGGATGCGACGCAGCCAGCGCTTTTCGATTCCTTGGTCACGGGCGGCATTTTTCTTCGGTCAAGTCACGGTGTCCGGAGAACAAGTGCCGCCATCCCCCACCCGGGCATGGCAGATACCTACGGGTGCCCAATCAAAAATTCTGCCAAACACAAACACTCACGTGTAAAAACCCATCACTTTAAAACCCTACCAAAACCACAATACAACCCTACTAACAGCTAATGGCCATAGATGCCGGGCTTAATAAGATCAATAAAAAAAAAAATAATAATAATTTTAGTATCGTATTATGAATAATTTAAAACAATAATAATAATAATAATTGTTATATAATATTGATGGAATGAAAAAAAAAAATTAACTTATATTATCATTATTATCATAATGTTATTTTTATAATAAATTAAATGCAATGCAATTTTACAATAAACTATGAAATTTTTGAAACACGGTGTTTTAACTTATTTTTATTATACCTATCGTACTGCCTATTTAAGAATCATAGTTTTCCCATATGGATATGGGCATATATTATGGCCATATCGAAATGATAAAAGTATTATTTGTCTTGATAAAATCAGTTAAATTTGTTAATTTTTTTTGTTATTCCATCAAAATATTCTCAATATTATTATGATATATGAATAAAATAAATAAACATTGTTTTAAAAAAAAAAATACTATAAAACATTATTATAAGTAGGTAATAATAAAATTAATTTTAATATTAGTTGGCTAATAAAAAAAATCATGGTTCACATTGCCAGGGCAGGAACACATTGACCGGGCAATGTACACTTTGCCCGGTATTCCACATTGCCCGTAACATATGTATCGGATATGATAGACAACGAGCTCAGCACAATGATGTCAAGCGTCTTTTTTTAACTCTGATTAATTTGAGTAGAAACGTTAAACCTAGGTATACATCCTATATATTTAAGTAATTTAGGTTTAGTTGAGTTATCCATACCTATAATATCATTATCGTTTAATAATAATACTACAGCCGATAATCGTAGTATAGCCATAGGCATAACAATATACTATTAATATCTTATTGTTCATAATTTTACATTTTTAAGACATGTTTATCATAGTAGGTATATCATGGTTGACAATAATGAGTAACAAATTAAAAAATTCTAATTTATCAAATTTTAAGAAATAATATTATCAAACACGTTTTTACTAAATAATATTATAGTATTTTAAAAAAATGTATCAAAACTGCAAAAGAACATTTTTAGCTTGCCAGTAGTAAAAATGGGAAGGAAAATAAATGAAGTTCCGTAATATATAAAGTATTTTTTTTCTAGTGTGTAGCCTAAAAAACATAGACCGAAGTTTGAAATTCGTATGTACGCTAAACAAATTTAAGCCACAATTCAGAAGACATTTTTAGCACGGGATGTATCTAATAGCCACCCGCAATGTTGAAGGGCTTAAGTTTTATAAGTTAATTTATAATAAGACTCGTTTTGGGAGGTTAAGATTTGAAAAACTGCTCTGTTTTATTTATTGTATTGTGGTAGACTTCTTTACCTACTCACCTAGCCCCTTATAATTATATCTATATTGTTAACTTTAAGGAAAATGGGGTGCTACTTCATTGTATATCTGTAAGGTCGTAGGGGCCATATTCCTAAATATGCCACTGAACCAATAAAACTCCACATTGTACCTACTTATAAAATATTATTGACACAATTTTATGCCATCATAAAACCTTTGTACACAGACAATTACACGAAATCTTATATTATTAAGTATCAAACTTATGTAAGTTATATAATAACTTATATGATTATATAATAGTTATATATAGAAGTTATATAGTTAAATATTATAATAGTAATAACTTATAATAAGTGAGTTTTGTTTTATTTTTAATAAGACTGTATTTTGTCTGGGTACATATTATAATGTACAATCCTAAAGGTCACGGTTTTAATACTATACCGGTTCAATATTTTAGACTTATCTGAGTCTAAAATATATATAATATCTATTTATTGATAAAATTAAAAATTTTATTTAAGGTACCAATTTACAGGTCAAAATATAAATCGATATGATTAATATAATTATAATTATTATTTAATTATTATAAATCAAAAGTATTTTATGATGGTGACTAAATTTTCTAATATTAAATCTTAATATTTTCAGCCCTCTTATTGGTTTGGAGTCAAAATCGAAATTAAAATGGTTCAATTTACGGAACGTGGTCCTCTTTATAACACTTCTACTGTGTATATTAATTGTTTTGTATGTGGTTTTTATGATATTCTATACACCGACGGTAAATATATATTTTTAAAATATTAAATCAATCGTTTAATAATTTTAAAACTATTTTTAATATTTTAGAAAAAATCCACTTTAAGATTAACTAGTGTGGCGACGATCAACAATGATTATTTCGAAAAATGCTCACCACCAGTAACGTGTGATCCTAAAGCAAAATACAGGACAATCAATGGATCATGCAATAATTTGCAAAATCCCAACTGGGGTGCAGCACTAACTCCTTTTTATAGATATATGGATCCGGTGTTTAGCGACGGTAATTTTAAAAATGTTTGATTCTCAATAACTACTAATAATCGATAAAATATAAAAATAATTCGTCAAAGTTTTATTTTACTTAAAAAAATATATTAGGTCATTATGATAAGTAGGGATTATTTTAACACTAACTATATACCTACATTATGATTATTCAAATTTAATGTTATATGGTTTTAGGTATCTCAGCTTTTCGTGTACAATCGGATGGAAGTCCATTGCCAAATGCTCGAAACCTGACTCTAACGATATTCCAAGACACGCTTAGGATTTGTGATTATAAAAACAACGAACTATTAGTACCATGGGGTCAATTCATCACCCACGATACGGCTTTTTCGCCAGTCCGTAGTGTCAATTCATCTTTTCCTGGTAACATTTTACTAAAATTTGAACGAAACAATCAAAATAATTTTCAATTTTATAACCACATTGTGTGTATATTATTATACAGCTGCTCTAGACCATTGTCAAGACGAACATCCACCAACAGAGTGCAAGGCAGTCATTCCATTATCTCCAGATGATCCAGTGTACGGAAAATACAATTTAACGATTTTAAAATTTATGCGTCTCATAACTTCGCCAGCTTATAATTGTACCTTAGTTCCTGACACTGTTGTTAGTATTTTTTATTATTATTAAGCCAGAACATTAGTCGGTACTTGGTAGGTATAGGTATAGCTATCTGGTATATTAATTCAAATATTATTTATTTTCAGTTAATAATGATTTCTTATGGTAAAGTTATGTCCTTGACAATGAATTTGTATATTTTCATATAATACCTGTATGATTGTATATGTGTATGTATACTGTATATGCAGTGTTGGGTAGTAATGTAACGAAAGTAACGCGTTACATAATTTCATTAGAATTATTTTCAAGAAACGAAAATGTAATGTAAATTACTTTTGAAAAGTAATTTCTATAGAATAACGAGTTACAATTTCGAATTATTAAGTACCTACTACCTACCTACCTATTGAGAATTGAAAAAAAATATATGTATAATGCGGGTATTATTATATTTACCAGTCTAATATGTATAAATATTTAATTTTAACATGGCACAATTCAGTTTTCAATGGTTTTATCATTTGAAATGTCTAATTGCATCTTAAATAACGAGAACAGTTAATTAAATTTATTATTTAATTTGATTCCTTTAAATAGGTTTCCTATGAATATAGTTTGTGTGGAAGACTAAATTTTATGTGATCCTATTAACTATACAGGTTTTATAAAGAATTTTCTTGTTCCATTTGCCTGCAGAAAATACATTTTTTTATATTTGTAACGAGAAAGTAATGAGTTACTTTTCTATTTGAAAAGTAAAGTAATTTCATTACAATTTTATTTGAGCAACGAGTAAAGTAACTTAATTACATTTATATCTTAGTAATGAGTAAAGTAACTTAATTACTTTTTACAAGTAACTTACCCAACACTGTAGTATATGTAACTAATTGTACAATTTAATGTAAAATAGTTTTTGTGCTATGGGAAATTTCTATTGTACAAATTCTTTAAACTCAATTATCTTTAAGCTCCGTTTTTTTTTGTGCTGCAGGTACACTAATGTTTTGATGTAAAATAGGTACTAATCTAACTATCCTTAATTTATCACATTTTTATTTTTTCATTATTTATAATTTAGCTTAATAAAAACACGCATTATATCGACTCGTCAAATGTGTATGGTTCCGATCCTGATGTGACAAATGAATTGCGTCTGTTCAGAGGAGGACAATTGCTTTACAATACAATTAAAAAACAAGAGTATTGTCCCCAGGATCCTACTAGAGTTGTGAAAAAAGGAAATGAGACTCAAGTAACAATAGCTTTTCTTGCAGGTAACTCAGACTTTGTAATATATTTTTTTTTTTAAATTATAACTATATTTAATGTTTTCGTTGACATTCATTTTAGTGCTATTTATTATGTGGAAATAGTGGAATACTGAATTACTTAACAATACTAAGACCTTATCATTGGGTTAAACATAAACAAATTTGAAAAAAGATTATTTATTTGTTAATGCCAAAATATGTCTTTATTTAAAATTATGAAACACCTAAAATATTTATGAATTGATAAGAATTATATTAACAACAATTATTTTTGTGTCCGATTGCGTCGATTGCGTCCCAGGCTCAGGTAAATGATTTTTTCCCTACCTTTTCTGTGTTCCTATTGCGTCCTATTCTGTAGTAAGTAATATACCTAATGTATTTGGCCCATGCAGATCCATTTAAACATGAATCGATTTTATTCTGATGAGCTTACGAAAATGTTATCTCATAGCCGATACTCTTATCGATTAATATCATTACAATCACGTAGCAATTTAATTTATAACTCATGGTATGGCTAAAACGCCGAGCAAAGTATTAAAAATTAAGAATTTATTGATAAACAAATAAACAGCTTAAAAAATAAAATCATATCCCCTTTGGTATTTACAATACCTTAAAACTATCTCACTACTTAACCCTTAACTATTTAACCCCTTTTTAAAATGACAAGAAGATGTATTTTTTAAATTATTTAATCCTATATAATTGGACTGAGTTTTATCTGTTTTTATATTATTATTATTATATATAACACTGACTGACCAGAAATGTTTTTTTAAATTATTTATTCCTATATATTTGGACTAATTTTTATTTTTTGTTGGTATTATTATTTTATGAATAATACTAACTAAATAATTACTAATAATGACTATTAATTTTCCATACTATTGATCCTAGAACTACGAATGTATTCAATAGTCATTAGTCATTAGTCATTACTAAAATAATATTAAAATAGAGTAATTGAATGCTTATATTATATAATATAGGACCCAGTCAGAACATAAAAAGGTAGGAAAAAATAATTTACCACCCGACTTGTGGACGCAATTGAAACACTGGAAAGGTATAAAAAGTTGAAACAGGACACAATGGAATGACGTATTTGATATCAATATTATCTAATTATTAATTTTGTAATAAATACATTTCGAAAAAATTACCAATTTGATATTGTATAACGTCCTTTTGTAGAACTATTGCTATGTTTTGGTCTTTTCAAACATACTTTTTCGCTCCTCTCATATTATTTTTTCTAATTCAATGATTCATAATTGTTATCAAATTTAAAATAATAATACATAATTTTCCACTTTTTAAGTTTCTTATAATTTTTTAACTATTAAGAAAAAATTATGTATTTTTATTAAATTCTCATTAAATATATTTTGTGTTTAGGAGATGTAAATGTTAACCAGAATTTAGGAATAGCTTTATTACAAAATTTATTTCTAAGATTCCATAATTATATTGCCAACCAGTTGGAAGTAGCACACCCGTTATGGACGGATGAGATTATCTACCAAGAAACGCGTAGAATCGTTGCAGCTGTAACTCAAATTATTACATACGACAATTTTTTGCCGATAATTTTGGGTAATGATAACTTATTATTTAAGAATTAATAATTTTTTATAATTCATATTCTTTTTTTAGGTGAAAAATATATCAATGAATATGGTCTAAATCATGAAACAAATTATGATCCAACGATAATGCCTTCTATGGCACAAGAGATGACTAGTGGTGCTTTTCGATTACTTCACAACATAATTCCCGCCAAATTGAAGTAAATTAAACAATTTTATTTAAAAAACTTAAAACTTTAATTTTAGTTTAAAAATAGTAAATTAAGATTAGAAAAAAGTAGTTAGGTACCATTATTATTATTTATTATAATACGCAATTTTTAAATATTAAACTCTAACTATTAAAAATAATTTTATCCATTAATTTATTCAAATTAAACTATTGCTAAAACTACAATAAAATAATTGATACTACATTAATGATATGAATTGTAATGCAAAGTATGATTATTATCAGAGGAACATTACAATTATGAACCCAAGTTGAATAGGTACTTTTTTTTATCAATCCACTTTAATAACTAACCTATAATATTTACAAATCAACATATTATATTTTAATAATTTCATTTGTGTAACAAATTAATTTTAAGATTTAATTTTTTAGCAGAATAAGTGCTGGGTGTTGCTATCAGGTAACACCTTTTAAATTTTAAAAATGTTCATTGTTATTACTGCCAGTTTATATAGGTTAGGTTAGGTTAAAATTCATGTCAACCTATTTTTACTGTTAATTATTATCAAACCTACTTATTGTACATAGGTTAGATTGTAGATATATTTCAATATAATAATAAAAAAAAAAAAGATTTGATTTTAAAATAATCGCCAAAGTTGCAATAGTTAAAATTTAAGATTCGGGGTTTTAAGTATAGCCGTACAGGTACTGTACAAATGTAGTAATTAGTACAAAACATTTTAAAACAAATGTTTTTAATATAGGTACCATACTACCATGAATAGATTAGACAGTGATAGATTTATCACCAAATACTATTTGTTAATATGAAAGTCATTAGAAAGCGGTTGTATTAATGTTTAGATGTTAATTAATTGTTTTATATAAATAAAAACGGAACTTTTTTTTATACAGCAGTTGTTTAGTAAAGCGATTTAATTTTTGCAACTTTTTACAGCTATATGACCGAAAATTACACTACATATGAAGTGGAAGAACCTTCTAAATCGTTTTTAAGACCAGATACATTGATTGGTAACGTTGATGGATTAATTAGGGGTTTAACAGAAACTCCTGGACGCGAACCCCAGTCATCATATAATGACCTTGTAATTATTATACAGTAATTTGCTAATTAAAATATCTATAATTAATTTTATTTTTATTTCTGTTTAAAGATTTCAAATATTGTTATTAAAATTCCATCAATTAATACTACTGGATTTGATCTGCTTTCTTACGACATACAACGAGGTCGTGATGTTGGTCTCCCGCCCTACACTAAAATGAGAAGTTTTTGCGGACTGCCACAAGTAAAGTCATTTGATGATTTATCGGATCACATACCATCAAAAGTAAGTCACTTCGCTCAATTTGTTCATATTTATTTTGAAATATTAAATTTGAACTACCTAGCTCGATTTTTTATATTATATAGAAAATTGACCAGTTAAAATATTTCTATTCATCGGTTGACGATATTGATTATTACGTTGGAATTTTATTGGAAGATAAAGTAATCGGATCTATGTTTGGCCCCACTGGAAGTTGCGTTATTGCTGATAGTTTTTACCGATTTAGAAATGGTGACCGTTTCTTTTACGACGTCAAAGATCAACCTGGAAGCTTCACTTCAGGTAAGAAAAAAAAACAAAAAAATGAATGTAGAACTCATTAAGCTGTGTAGCTGGTATCGATTGTACATCGTCATTGAGTATATAGGTCACTGTAATGGTTGTGTTAAATTTTATTTCTAAAATTATAATTCGTTGTATATGAATAACGTTCGATTATGATCGAAGACAATGAGATATAAAGATTACTACTGTAAATATTACTCACTTAAAAATAATTTACTTCATTTTGTATTAATAGCTGGTATATTATTATATAGAAAAGTGAATGGGTTCATGATATTTTAAGCTTAAAATAAGTATAAATATTTGTGTGCTAGCAAATAATAGTTTACGTAATAGCAAGAAGCTTAGTCTACGGTTATAATTTTTTGTATCATAACATAATTTCTAGTAATTGATTCGGATTCGTATATTTTAGATCAAATACAGTCGTTGAAGAAAATAACGCTCAGTCATATAATCTGTGCTACGTCAGGTATAGAACGTATTCAAAAAGATGCATTCAGGTTAATTGATCATATGTAAGTAATAGGTTATAGGTACTTACCTATTATTATATTATTCTAATTTCTAGTTTTAACATGATTCTGATAATAAAATGCGTATAATATTTTAGACGAATGATGAAACTAAAGCCCAATTGTGAAACGTACAAAATCGACTTGACTGCATGGTGAATGATTCCAAAACATAGTAAGTATAAGAAATATTATTTTGCTTATTGTACCCCTTATTAGTTAATACAATTTATGATAATGCACCAATATTTTACGAATCATACTTAAAGACCTAGTAATGGGATTATACTTTTGAAAACTGATATGAATTTGTTATTATGTTTACTTGAGGGTTGCGGTCGATCATGCCCCTTTTCTAATTTCATTAACCAACTCCTATACATTTGGTTTGAATGTTTAAAATGTATGAGATTGTAAATGTTGAATTTAAATTAAAAATCTAAAAATGTAGTCTGATGGCCTCATTGATCTTAAGTAGATATATTAACGCCCATAATTACTAAACTCACATTTAGAAGACCAATACAGATCTATAAAAATTAATTTATATGAAGTTAGAAAATGTCTTAATATTGAACTTCTTAAAACTGTCTGTTTATAATCCCAAGAAGGACGTCGAACTGGATGAGTTTTCTTCGTCGTACAAACGTGCAAAAGAGTAAATCTACGATCAATAGAACCAATTTTGTGTTATTAGCTATAATATTAGACCATTACAGTTAATTGTCCTCTTAAAAAATTCAATAGTAAGAATTATAATCAGACCATAGTATTTCTATTGTTTATATTTCAATTTTAAACAAGTCGTATGTACATTTTAAAATTGTAATATTTTACATAGTTATACTCACTTTAAAATAAGTAGGTATTTCAATAAAATCTTATGAAGTGCCTTTGATATTATTCTAACTTTAAATTTGAAAGTTATAGCAACACGTTGGTTCTGCTGAAAGAATTTGCCGAACAATTTAGTGCAATGTACGTTTGTACGAAAGAGACAACACATGTGGGTTCGTTATCCTCTAATAAGTCAAAATATCTAACCTTAATATAAAGTTTTTATGTTCACAGTTTTCCTCACGTACAGATTTAAACGATTATGTTTTTTTAAGATCGGAAAATTGAGCTCACAGTGTTTTAACAAGGAAAAACAACTAGGTGCAGACCTATATATTAAGTATAAGGCTAAAAAATATTTGTTTTTTTTTTTAATTAGTCTATTTATTTATACTTTTATACAAAGTAAAACTTAAATACTTTTGAATATGCTTACAATATATTTAAACTATTTATTTACTTTTTGTACACAATTTATATTGAATTTAATATAATATAGGCTTTATGCTGAGAAAACCCGACAACTGTTTTCAAGTGGTTTAAATAACCGCTAGGTAACCGATTTGAACAGGTTAAAATACAGCTTTTTACAAATAGATCTTATCCTAGTATAAGCCATAAGGTCTATGTTTTTACGTCAAATTTTGCGTTATCAATTATGAATTATTGATAATGTGTAAGATGTAGGTATACAGATATGATCAAATGAGTTGTCTATCTAATAAGAAAATCCGTGGTTCTGATTTCTGACTTCTGATTCCATTCGGTTATATCCACCCCTTGCACCTCCTTATGGATCCTCTTGAGTAAAAATTGAACATTTAAGAATTATTTTAGACTTGGGTCCTTCACACTAGTCACTAGTATACTAAGTAATTAGCAGTTAGTTCTTAAAAATGTTTAAATAATAATAGAGAATAAATTAATGCTTCGATATAAGATATATAGGTATGCATCAACCTTATAACAAATTAAGATTTCAAACATATTGCAGTTATTAAAATACAAAATTGAGTTCAAAACTTTAAACTTTTAATTGGCTTATATTTATTATTTTTATAACCATTAAACATTAGTTATTACTTATGAAATGCATAATTATATAGTTTAAACAATAAATTAAATTAAATTAAGAATTACAATTCGATATCATTTAGTATTAATTGTATTTCATATTTAAACCTGTAACCTGAAAATTAGGTAAATATTACGGGTGTCTTACTATAGACAATATACATACTAGACATAAACATAAAATATAATAATAAATACGTATAAGGACATATTATATTAACCGTATTTCTAAATAATATGAGTTATAATATTGTTGATACAAGAAAATTATTATATTTTTATTTAATTTATAGATTCTGAATTCTGAGAGGGAGCGATGATGAATGTATTGGATTAAAAATTCCTTGTTTTTTTGTCATCACATGCTTTGGAGCAATTAAAGTGCTTCAAATTTCAACTTGGAGGTTGGTTTCTAGTGAAAAACTGGATCCAGTTAACTTAATAGCTTAAAAAAAAATTTGTAACACTTTTCAAAACCGGAATATTTAAATTTGGAAGTCCAGCTGTTTTTGACGAAATCAATTTTGTTTTTTTTTATGTATAAATCCAAAAACAAATAACCGTTAGTAATTTATTAAAACTATGTTTGTAATTTTCACCAAACATTTCCATTAGCATTCTCTAAACATGATATAATTTTCAAAATACTTTGGCTCAATTTGAGCTATTTATAGACACTATAATTATTTGTCTATTGGTTGAAATTCATCCAGAAAAATATTTTTAATTTTAAAATCAAATATCAATACTCTCTAAATAAAACATTTATTATGACACACTTAGTTTGGTATCAGAGTTTGTGCTTCTTCTAATTTTATTTTTAAGAACGTTTCATATTGAAAAAACAGGTGTTTCGTATTTTAGATTTTGACTCTATAAGCTTAAAAAATTATGGACTTTCCCTTTTGTTGTACATTCGAATAACAAACAATAATGGACTATAATTATTATTTTATTATATAAATTAGTTAGGTCACTGCTTTAATATTTCGTATTACGCGACTACTTATGACAGGAAAATTTTTTAAAAAACGTTTTCAATTTCTTTTACGGGAAAGATGGCGCCACTAATTTATTCAAATTTTTGTATTTTACCTGTCTTAACGGCAAAATATTATTATATACCTATACATTTTTTTTAGTGAAACTTCTTAACTTCTTAACAAATAACAAATAACAATACATCGCCAATAATATATTTACTTTTCATAGTTATTACTTAACTAGATGAATTACCCGGCGTTGCCCGGAAAAATTTTGATTATTCAACTCTTTTGGGTGTACATAACACACTGAAGCAATGTCTTTTTAAGTGTAAATTATATTATATTTTAATAATATATAGCCATCCCGATCGTCGTTGTCCGTGAGATTCGCTCTAATAAATACTATATAGATTAGAAGACGAAAAAAGTGCTTGCGTATTAATAAATAGATTAATAAATATTATACAGACTATTAATATACAGACTTGGAATTGAACTTTTGTTTTTTTTTTTTTGGGAATTGTGTTACAATTTTTTGTTCCTCTGGATAAAAGCTTGATAATTTAATACAGGTTTCCTCATAAACTATTCTTTCAGCAATTAAAAAATATCAAAAATACATGGTCACAATTTGTTTTATATAATCAACATACAGGGAAGGATCCAGGAGGGGCCTAGGGGCCCAGGCCCCTCCCCAGACATATTTTTTATAAATATAAAAGTTAATAGTTATAAGTTATAAGTATTTCTAAACTTCTTTTCACATTGTCGCTTTATATATTAAATACCTACTATAATTAAGACAACATTTTTAAATTAAGAATAAAGTAATTATATCTTTATGTATATAATTCTACTGTACTTGTGTTTGTAAGCGAACTCCTACTCCTCCTAAACGGCTATACCGATTTTGATGAAATTTTTTGTGTGTGCTTTAGTGGGCCCTAGAATGTTTTAGATTCACAATCAGACCCGGTAGGCCCATTCCGTGGAGGTGCTCAAACGGGAATGTTGAGATTTATGGTGGATATTTTTGTTTATAAATGGTTGCCATGGGTTTTAAAGCTATTATAATAATAAATATTGGTTGCCGTGAAATCAGAAATAATTATACAATACTAGCAGACCCGGCGAACTCCGTTTCGCCACCAGATTCGTTTTATGTTTTTTTTCGTTTGGTGATTAAAATATAAAGAAAAAAAATTTTTTTTGTTATATATTTGAAAAGGAAAATATTTATTTCATTTCACAACAGTAATAAATTCATTTCAATTACCTACTAAAATGAAGTGTTATTTAATTGTTTCATTGTAGTGCTCTTTGGTAAACCACATTTTTTGTTTTTTGGTTTGACGTTAACACAAACAAAGCGGATGGTTTCCCAACTCGTGAACACGCAACGTATAACTGTCCATGTGAAAAACAATGATTTTCCAAATTTATCCCGCAAACACTAAGCGATTGGCCTTGCGACTTATTAATTGTCATTGCGAACGCAAGGCGAACTGGGAATTGCAATCGTTTGAAGTCAAACGGAAGATCAGTCGGAATCATTGGTATTCGAGGAATACATACATTTTCACCTGCGTACTTTCCGTTAATAATGGTTGCCTCAATTAAATTCGGCATAAGTCTCTTTACCGAAAGTCGAGTACCGTTGCAAAGTCGCGGTGGATTCAAATTACGCAGTATCAAAATAACTGTACCAACTTTCAGTTGCAAGTTATGTGGTGGAAATCCTGGTATCTCCAGAGAGTTCAAAAACTCCGTTGGATAATTTACTACATCATCGGGATTTGTTATTGAATCAACGGATTTGTATGTCACCAAATCGCCAGCAATTTTTGATTGAATGGTGAAATTCAGTGCGTGGACATCATTATTCTTTGCTGCAAGAATTGCTCGTTGACTTAACCAAGCATAATTCTTATAATTCTCACTAATGTTTGGGAAAACATTTTCAATAAGAACTAATTGAGTGTCTACAAATCGGCAAAAGTCGTTGGTAAGAGTAATTAATCCAGATGTCGCATCAACTGGGACTTTTCCATTTCCAAGATCTAACAATTGTTTGGAAAATTGTGCAGCACTTTGATCATTTTGAAGTTGAACTCTCATATTAGTGGTTAGCGATAATGTTTTTACGTTATTCCATAAAGGTGATGCCTTTAGGCAAGCATTCAATTCATGTGTTTGTGTAGTGTGTGGTGTATATGAAGTTGTTATGTGTTGGTTATGTGTGTTGTATCTTTTACCTTGCAA